CAAGCGTAAATGGAAACCAAGAAGTCAAAACAATAGAAGTAATGCGGTACGAGTATTACGTGGGCAAACAACGACATCCGCTAAATAAAATTTAGTGCAGATACTGTTTACACTTTCCTTTCCTGAAAGTGAACACTTTCCACAGCAGAACGCAACACAGGTTAGATTACCCTTGATTGGAAAAATGAATCAGGTTGACTAGATTAAATTAAATTTAATTATCGGGGCGCTTTTACGGATATATATGTACGTACACCTGAATATCAGTGGGTATTTAATATGAACGAGTAGAAAGTTTGCGTTTTTGTAAAACATAAATTATTCCTTTGGCGAGGAAAGTCTATTTTGAAAGCTCTTTACTGACAAGTTTAGACATTCCTTTGAATTGAATCACTACCCCTCAATAGTTGAAATGCTTTTCATTTCACATCTGTAACGTGGTTAAGGACGCTGAGTAAAGGGGGCACAAAATAAATCGAGAAACAAAGAATGAATAACCCTAACCACGGCTGCGGCTGCTCACGGAGAGACTAGACTGCGGTAAGAGGTAAAATTTAAGGCGCCACTAACTTTTGTTTCCCCGGTTAGGGAGCCGTGCTCAAAAATTAGAAAATAGCCCTCTGGTGGTCGAGGAAGCTAAGGCTAAAAAGAAGGGGAGAAATACGAAACACTAATTAAGAGGAGCATAACCTGCTATTTAATTTCGCCTGGGACTTAAAATAAAATATTAAACAAAATTGTGACTCAAATAAATAATAAAGACAAACTGTTTGCTTTGGGTTTTTTTCGTTTTGAGGAAAAAAATAATCTAGGGGAGGACAAAGGGATGGGGGCTAGGTAACGGGTAACAATCAACGATTGAAAATCTATAATTACCAGCCTGCTTAATATACTTGTTGACTGCTTGTTGCGAGATCTCACATTACAAACTGGCAGTAATTATAATGGTTAGTATTATGGCGTTACCTTTCTTTATTTTTGATTCTTTTTTTTAATATGGGGAATAATTGGGGCGAAACAAGAGGGGAAATACAAATAATTTGTTGAGGAACAGTACCAATACTTGCTGTTTAGATTGCTGGGTCCTCAGGCGATGTTAAGGGTAACGTTATAGAGTAGGGGACGGTAGAGAAAAAGGGGAAAATAGGGTGAAGAATAGAGGAATGAAACTTAAGCGGTAGGGGAAGTACTGAATTGAAAAAGAAACAATTAAATAGGGAAACTGAAACGAGGGGTAAACGGCGTCTTCTTATCTTCGGACTTCGGAGCCGGCTGACGGTGGTCGTCCAGGGACTGCTTACGTTGAAGATTGTAGGTAGACACCAGTACAGTAAATAAAAAAGAAGGCCCTAAAAGGGGAACAAAAAATATCAACACGCAAAACGACAAACAAACCAAAAACAATTCTTACAAGGTGTTGGAGGCCTTGAAGAAGTCATCCGGTGTGCGACGAGCTACAGGGATTTAATGACAATTCTACAAAAAAATATAGTGAATGTACAAAAAATAATCACAAGGGGTTTACTTACAGACGATGAAACGGAAAAGCGCACCGAAGGATTGTAAAAATAATCGTGGAACAATTAAACTGCGAGATTTGAGAAATCGATAAATCCCCAAAATATGGGCGGCTCGCAATAGTACTCGTAAAACTTCTTGGAGCTTCTGGCGATCTCAAAAAAAAGAGGCTTGGATCAAAAATTATAAAACTTTTCTGCACCTCATGCACGCACAACAGAACGATAATTATTGGAATGGCCCCCGGAAATAATAAAAAAGAAGATAATCACGCAATCAACGACGAAATTTGGGGAAAAATCAAAAAGTAACGGACACTAAGCGGAAATAACAAAAAGGCGGGAAAAATTAATACAACAAACAAACGATAGAGGACGCTACAGAGAAAACAAAAGAAGCGACACAGAACGTAGAAAGCAGGGTGAAAGATAAATGAGCATAAAATCATAGGGAAAAGATTAAAGAACCAAAAGAAATAGGAAGAGTGTAAAAACGGCATCATAGATATAAGGAAAAATACGGCGAATTTCAAACGTAATTTATAATCCCAAAAGAAATAAAAGGAATACTAGAGAATGGTACTCCACTGGTATACAACCACCAACAAAACCCAAAAAAAATCCCTAATTCTAAAATTAAATATGAACCCTAACCGAAATTAAAACCAAAATAAAACTTCTAAAGGGATTTCGAAGGCGACAAAACTAAATAAAAACTGAAGGAGAAAAAGGAACGTAACACATCAATAATCCTTTCCACCATAAAAATAGTAGAATTAGAGCCGGATTAACCAAACATTGGGACGTAAAGATAATCTGTGTACCCACCTCCCCCTTTCCTAGGTTAAGTTTATTACTTCAACAATATTTCGGATGATTGAGAAACAGATCGTCAAGTGTTAATTTTCTGAACCGAACGAAATCTTCGAAGTGAAATTTCAAATGGTGTGCGTCACTCCGATCTCGCTTCTTTCGGAACGTTTCATACTTGTATCGAATGCAAAGATGATGCAATTCACAACACGCTTATCTCGCACTAATACGTATATTAACTCACGATTTACTTCGCACAATGGTATTTTGGTTTTCTTACAATAACTTTTTTAGCAATAAACGCAGACAAAATTCCTTTATTCCCTCCTTGGTGTAAGCCTCGACACCATAACGAACCAAAAAGCGAAAAAAGTAGAATAGCTCTTAAGATAAAGAACTAGTAGCGTCCAGACGGACGGACAGACGCACGAAGAGACGGACGGGCAGACGGACGGACAAAGTGGCCACCATAGCGCATTTTGTTTTAAATTTTTGTGGAAATGCGCTAAAAAAGATAACGGATCGTAAAAATGAAATCACGTCACGAAAAGAGAAAATTTGATGTTAATTGTAACCATTTTCACGTGTAATCAACGAAGCGACGCTTTATTTTTGCTCGTGCGAATACCTCTAAAAACGTGTCTAGATAAAATAGCTATATAGGAAAACCGTAAATAAATATCCAATACAACATAATACCGAACGATCCTCGAGATCTTCACACATACATCATTTTTACAACGTGCCTTAAGGGGTTGATTCTGTCCCACCAGATCAGCATAGCTTGTAAAACATTTTTTGAATCGTCATTAGTTTTACTTTTACTCAAGGTGCCTACATACAAAATTTCATTGATATATCTTAACAAATGAAAAATTTGATTTTGCGCATGCGCATAATAAATTGTTTGATTTGGCATTAGTTTTACTTGTATTCGAGGTGCCTACATACAAAATTTTTATTATAAAAAAATTGGGATTGCGCAAATATTTTGCGTTGCGTTGCGCATGCGCAATTTTTTTTATTCATCTGCATAGTTGCCTAAGAATATTTACTAACACATAGAACCGGACATTCATATGTTCTTTGTGACAAGAATTATAAAAGAAGCCCCTTTTTCGAGGTTTGGGCAGTTTTTGGGCTGTAAGTTTTTAGCCCGTTGGTCTACGTAGCCGAAAAACAATAGCGACCTTTCTTATATCCTAAAGAACATGCGTATCAACTTTCAAAGCAATCGGACGTTTTTACACAAAATGCACACGGACAGACGGACAATAATATAATACAAAATCGTTAATAATGTTACCGCCACGTGTCAGGTTTTAACTAAGTGAGGAAATTTAACGGTTGCTGATGGTATGACATAGCCCTTTTGAGGATACATTTTGTGCTAAATGATATATCAGTGTAACTTAGTATTCGTTGTATTTTTACGTTTGACGAACATTTTCCTGTAATGTCAACGAGAATGTCTTTATGTAGCATTTTTGTATAAGTTGTGGCTTAGATTATAACTGTTTCATCCTTAGGGATTTGGGGCGTGAAAATTTGAGCAACAGCATTTTGCTTAGCTGTAATTATTACGTACGAAAATGAAGCTGCTTAATTTCATTGTCCTGCTTAGCTGGTACGTACAATGTACCGGATTCTTTGGAATAATGTTTATGTATAACATTTTGGAGTAAGAAATACTCCGACACATTGAAATCGTTCGAATTTATACAGGCGTTGTGTGTGGCCATAACATCGTCTAAAACTCATACCAATAAGGTTGACAGGAGAAACGTGTTGGCGACTGATTTTAATAACCAGAGGGCATACGTCCTCTCGTGGATAAAACAAATTCACAATGTCAATAACAAGAAGAAAGTGGCGCTATGTGTGCGTGTAAAAAGTCGTCAGTCGTCGTATCAACTTGACATTAAAGAAAAATTTGATCTCCTTTTTCATCAAAAGTAGTAATTGTTTTTTACTTTTGTTTTCCCATTGAAATATGTATTCATATCGTATGGCAACCTCGTGCATTACTGAATCACATATTTACCCTCTTCGCGGGTTCTTAATTTGCTGAAATAATCTTTTGCTTCGTTGGAGGAAAATACCCATTCAGCTGGAAACAATATTTTTCTTATATTCATTTTGTTTTTCGTGCCCGAAAGGAATGCGAATTGTACATATTTGTGTCACAACCTACGTAAATATTGTTATGGTAGCAATGTTATTGCCAGAATATTGTTTATTAAGCTCTAATGAAGCTAATCAAAAGCCGAAATGCCGACTTAATACAATTGATATTCATAGCCATTTTTAGTATTATACCTTTCTTTAATATTTAATGACATGTCGCTTTATCCCAAACAGGTATAACAATAGATCTTCGCAGCAAAAGATTGTTTTGAAAATCTTCATAACAAAGAGTGTAGAGCAGCCGAGATAACGAAAATGCAGCATTTCTATTGGCTTAGAAGGAACACTGAACGAGACAATTTCATTGGTTCCGCCAGCCCTGTAAGCCACGATTACGTGTATACTGGCGACGAGCAAAAAAGAGGGGAGTTCCCGTTAACTTTGATCACAATAGCGTGCGAATTCTCCGTTCAATTTCTACGATCGTCCAAGCGCGGATTAGGGGGAGATCAAGCTTAACTTCGATCGCAATAGCGTGCCAGTTTTATACGTTCAATTCTCGATCACAACGCTGCATCCGGCAGTTTACTACCTGGGGACGCTAATTCTTTACCTTCCCAAAGCAGGGACAATGTAAGTCCTGCCATGAACAGGTTTGCAAGATTTTTCTGTATCTCGCTTAGTTGAGCCATTTACGCCTTAAGGTGCGTATACATCTGAGCATTGGGTCCGAATGAGCAAGGCGAGCGCGAATGAGCATTCAAATGTGGACGACTGAGCAACGTGCGCCGAGCACGCTCGACCCGATCCAAATTTTGTCGGTAGATCAAAGCGAGCGCTTGCGGCGAACACGCTCATACGTGCTCAGTGTGGACATCGACAGGGAACGGAAAGGACATACCATATTGAAACGCGCACTACGAGCATTCATTGAGCGAAGCTCATGTGTCTCGATCGCGTGTCCCATTCAGATGTGTACTCAGCCCCCTTTCCAAATGCTCATTCGCGCTCGCCTTGCTCATTCGACCCAATGCTCAGATGTATACGCGCCTTTATGCGCTTTGTTTGCGGTGACCGCAAATACGATTATATTCAAGTTTTCTTTTGAAATATGAAATATGAGTTGATTTTTTTTACAAAACGAGCAGGCTTTTCCGCATCTTTGTATGTAAATGCGCCACCAATTTAATCGAAAAATTTATAATGTTCGTATATTTCCATAATTGGTATAGTTTAATTATCGTTTAGTGATTTTATGCTCACTGAATCGAATCTCTTTACAAAGTTCAACCTAATCGCTATTGGCGTTCATTGTCCTGTTTTGATGTTTCTTGAAACTTTTGCAGGCAAGGAACATAACCTGTAAAAACAGTTGTTCACCTAGTTATACTATCAAATGTTAAAATTTTTTTTCGAAAGAACGCAGGGGCAATAGTCACGGTCAAAAGGTTTACTTGTATTATACTTTTGTTTAGTGTTACTACATACATTAGCATATTCTTGATGACAATGCGACATTTCCCTAGTCTATGACCTATGCAAAACAACCTTTGTGGATTACCTTCGCACTTGACAATACGCTCATACAGCTCATTCCAATCGCACGCAGATCGAAACGAGTTCGAAAAATGGAGACTGCTACTGAATATTATAACTTCATATTTGTTACACATGCAGGTTAGTAAAAAAAGCATAGATACAGAATAAATTTATTTTTTAAGATAAGAGGACAACTACTTGGCCACTTATGAGTTCACCGCTGCTACCTCTCACTCTTATCTGCGGGTACCTTTTCGCTGTGTATCATTTCTTACCAAAATATATGACTGGAAGAAGGCCTTACCGCCTCAAAGGTTATCTTTGGGTTTACAATTTGGCTCAAGTAGTTTCGTGTTTCGTAATTATTTATGGAGTAAGTTCAAAAACTGGATTTCAAAATATTAATACTGAACTAGCTTACTGCGTCGGGATGGAGAATTCACCACCTCGTGGACTGTCAAGTGATAGATCTCTCCAATAATCCAAACGCAATTCGCACGGCTCAATGCGTATGGTTCTACTTCGCGCTCAAGGTTGTCGAACTTACGGAAACGTTCGTATTTATTTTGAGGAAGAAGTATAAGCAAGTTTCGCCTCTACACGTTTTTCACCACGCTTCCACCGTTTTCTGCGCTTGGGTCGGGGTCAAGTTTTACCCGGGAGGAATGTCTTCAATTCCCATTATTCTAAACTCAATTGTGCATATCGTAATGTACAGCTATTATTTCCTATCATCACTGGGACCAGGAGTGCAAAGAAAGTGGTTGCAGCCGATTAAACCGATTGTAACTCGGATTCAGATCGTGAGTTGATAGACTTACTATTTCCAAAACTGCAGTTCATTTTTAGATACAATTGCTGATATTATTGGTGCTAGCGCCTCAGGCATTCTCACCACGCTGCGCTGTACCAGATGTCCTAATTTATCTATGCGTACCAGACTTTATAATAAATCTAATACTGTTTCTAAGATTTTACGCAAGAAGTTACAACAAAAAATAGTTTGTACAGATTTAATTTTGTAGTTTTCGATTTGAGAGTATGCTAAAGCGAGCAATGCGATTATTTTTTTCCGATTGTGAAATCGAATTATGAATTATTCACAGAACAGAATCGTAAAGTAAAAAAAATGAGTGGTTCAATCGTTTTTGTTCCGATGATCAATGTCCGGTGTTATTTCGGAAAAATACAAAAGTGATTTTTATTTCATTCATTCAAGAAGTCACTGTAAAAAGGTTGAAGTGGGCGAAATCGTAGAAAAAGTCTTCGATTCCCATTCTACCGAGCATAGCGGACGATCATTACAGCTACTATTGCTCTTCTAGTACAAAAACAGTCACTTCAATCGTCCAAGGTAACCTCCCACTGCAAAACTGGTCGTCTGTGAGGTGTACACAAATTATGGCTATTATTTTTTCATCTCTATCTAACCCGTGCGAAGAAAAAGACACAAGTTTTGCAGTGGGCTGCTACCTGCGACCGTTTTTATTCTAGACGATCTATAATTTATAGGGGAGGAACTTCGTAACTGTTTGTTGACATTCGAGGTTCTGTGTTGCTGATTTTTGCCCTTTTTTTCAACAAGAAAAACATTTGTCCACCCCAGATTTTATCGAGATTGCTATGTGCAATGTTAAACGGCCACTAAGCCACGCACCAGCACCTGTCCAGCTAGCTCAATTAAAACAGGTACTAGCAGAATCTTTTATACCAAATAATTATATTTTTTTCAGAGCACGTCCAGCATCCGCCAGAACTACAGATCTCGATAAGATTTTGAGAACACTCAGCAGCCTGGATCAGCTCCACAATTCCAAAGAATTATATACAAACGCCTGGCATAACCCTGGGTACCAAAAGGAAAATTTAGCATGAAAACTCTTATCTAGGTCGTAATTTGAGCTCGATTAAACACACAATATGTTATTACAGATGAAACAAAATTTATTCCACAAAATCAATCAAGCTGAAAGAAAAAGGGGCAATCAGGGCCAAAATACATTACCACGCAACACTGTTTACCTATAGTTTTCCGCTATTCAATTTATCATGGTTGATCACGATTTTCCCTATATGGCTTATTATAACTATATGGTATCTATTAAGAATTGGCCATTATCCGAAAGCATAGAAAACAGCAATAAAATACTCTAATTTTTGAAAAACTTGACAAAAACCGAGACAAACACGGTATTGAAAATTATTGTCCGGTGTCCTTACTAACTAATTTGAAAAGTAAGATGTTTGAATCCATCCTAGCGGACACTCAACTGTAAGGGTTTGTCGAAAGCATTCAATTTTTACAAATGTACCTCATGACTTAGCCCATATCATCTAATATGGATCGAAGGGTTCAGGCTGATATAACATACACTGATCTACCAAAAGACTTCGATGGAATGCCTCACCACATAGTAATAATATAATAATAGTTTATTGTCCAAACAGAATAGTTCCATAAACTAGGACAATATTAGGTAAGATATGCATGTAGTGCGAATAATAACCGAAAAAAAAAGAAAAACTTTAAGCATGACATAAGTGAAAATAAAGGAAAAATTGACAATTATACACAATACAACTTCTTAAGGGTGTAATCCAATAGAACAATATTTATGCGAAAATAGTGCGATTTATATTTCGTCTCAATTCTGTAAAACATCAGGAGATGAAAGACGGGGCTAATTTTTTTCGTGTAAATTATACATTTAAAAAGTATGCTACAGAACAAAATTTTAATATTTAAGAAAAAACAATTTTTTAGAGCACTACCAATAAAAAGTGAACTTTTATAGGTAAAATGGCGTCAACACAAATTATTTTAAACATCTCCCTGTAGCATACTCAGAAAAAACATTAGCAGACCATAGAGTCATCGACAAACCTTTCACATAAATTACAAAAAATTTTAGACGAAATATTCATTCGAAATTTTTTACGAAAACTTGTAGCGTTTAGTGAAGTCATTCACCATTTATAAATGTACAGTAGGTAACACATCATACGGCAGGCCTAACTTCATTAGCGGCATTGTTGCGTTTATGGGGACTAATTTACAAAATGAAACCGGATTCATTAGAACGTATTATAATTTCATAATATACTGGGTAATAGAATTCACACGGAAAATGTAATTTATTTTTGGGTGAATTAAAAGTTTGCGTCTTTTCTGACGTTTTTTGTAACACCCCTAAAATTTTAGCGTGAAAAAATTTTGAGATTATTCCCATGTAGCATCCTTCAGAAAGAGATATAATTTGCGTTAAAAGCGTTAGTTCTCATTTATTTTGTTCCCGAATTAGACGATTTTTTGAAACACATCTAGAATATTAGTAAAAAAATGTACATTTTTTCTATCTAATTTATAGGTACTTATTCGCTTACATTTCCAGATAGGGTCAATACAATTCATGGAGTAATTACTGGGTTAAAAAAATATATACGTCTTATTAAAAACTGGGAAAAGTGAAATTATTGAGGATTAGCCGTTGTGACAATGATTTGCGTTTTCTAATCGATGTTTAATTATATATGCATATTCGTCACAATGACTAATGACCGGGGTAAATTAGCGTAATTACTTGTTTACTTTATACAATGGTTGGGCAGGTAAACTCTTCCATCTTTGTTTATTCGTTACCATTTCATTACAAGTAAGTATTATGCAACCCATCATACGTCAAATAGAATTAAAATTTAAGTGGAATACACCCTAACTCCTAAGTATTGCGAATTCATTTTATTCTGCACAACTCCATTTTGAGTTTCATCACACCGTGGATTGACACCAAATATATCGGAACAGGACTGCCGACTACTCCAAATTAACCTGGACCGCATAGGTACATGAGCGGTGCTATCAAAACGGCCTGGAATTGAATATTGGGAAATGCTATAATGTGACCTATACGTGCAGTAAATCTCCAACAGAATACAATATTACAATATGTCGGGGAATCCGATAAAAAGGTGTGACATATTTAAAGATCTCGGTGTCACATGAAATAAGCTTTCTCAGTTCAAGGAGTTGAAACGCTTAATTTGTTTACTCTTTCAATCCTAAACCAGAATTTAACTTCTCAAACGAAAGTTGATTATTAATTGTCTTCGACTAACTGAAAAATATTTACCAAAATTTTACCTCTGTCTAATTTGCTCATTGTAGATTTCTCTCCTTTCGTTCCTGAAAATTACTCCAAATTGCTGAATTCTCTGTCACTTGCAAGCAGACGAACACGCTAATTGGCCATACAAATATATTGAAATCAATCAAAAATGTTCAATGAGTTTCCAGATGCATTTACCTTTTTACATGATCTTTTACGAAAATAATTTTCGCAATATTTTCCCGGCCAGAATCAAAATGGCGAATTTGATCTTCGGCGGGTTAGAAGACATATGAATCGTCTATATACCTATACTCTATTGCATTTAATTTTGTCCAATATCAAATGTGACGTTCATTATGCGAAGATATTCCTCTTGTAATCGTCGGCATTTACATGTAATAGCCACGGTCAAAAAGTTTACTTACATTATACTTTTCATTAGTGTTATTACATAGATTAGCATATTTTTTATGATAATGTGACATTTCTCTATTCCAAAATCTTTGTGCATGACCTTCGCACTTGACAATACCGTCATAGACCACATTCCTACCGCACGTCGACCTAACCGAGCTCGAAAAATGGAGACTGCTGTGGAATATTATAACTTCTTATTTGTTACACAAGCAGGTTAGAAAAAAATTTAGATACAGAATAAATTTGTTTTTTTAAGATAAGAGGACGACTACGTGGCCCCTGATGAGTACACCGTTGCTACCTCTCGCTCTTATTTGTGGATACCTTTTCGCTGTGTATCATTACTTACCAAAATATATGACTGGGAGAAGACCTTACCGCCTCAAAGGTTACCTTTGGTTTTACAATTTGGCTCAAGTAGTTTCGTGTTTCGTAATTATTTATGGAGTAAGTTCAAAGCCTGAATTTCGAAATATTAATACTAAAGTAGCTTACCGCGTCGGGATGGAGAATTCACCACCTCGTGGACTGCCAAACGATAGATCTCTCCAATAATCCGAAGGCAATTCGCACGGCCCAATGCATATGGTTCTTCTTTGTGCTCAAGGTTGTCGAACTTACGGAAACGTTCGTATTTATTTTGAGGAAGAAGTATAAGCAAGTTTCGCCTCTGCACGTTTTTCACCACGCATCCACCGTTTTCTACGCTTGGTTGGGGGTCAAGTTTTACCCGGGAGGAGTGTCTTCAGTTCCCATTATTGTAAACTCAACTGTGCATATCGTAATGTACAGCTACTATTTTCTATCATCACTAGGACCAGAAGTGCAAAGAAAGTGGTTGCAGCCGATTAAACCGATTGTAACTCGGATTCAGATCGTGAGTAGATACACTTACTATTTCCAAAACTGCAGTACATTTTTAGATACAATTGCTGATGTTATTGGCCCTATCACCTTTAGCATTCTTACCACACTGCGCTGCACCAGTAGAACTAATTTATCTATGCGTACCAGACTTTATAATAAATCTAATACTGTTTCTAAGATTTTACGCAAGAAGTTACATCAAAAAATAGTTTGTACAGATTTAGTTTTGTAGTTTCAGATTTGAGAGTATGCTAAAGTGAGAAACAACAAAAGCAATAGGTACAATTATTTTGTTCCGATTGTGTGACGGAATTATGAATTTATTCTGTGAACAGAATCATAAAGTAACAAAACAAAATGATTGACCCAATCGTTTTCGTTTCGATTATCAATGTCCCGTTTTATTTCAGAAAAATAAAAAGTATGTGACTTTTATTTATGTTCACAATCAATAAAACAATGGCCGAAACCATAATTTCGAAGGCAGATTCCGGTGATGCGGTCAGTGTGACAATTTCGAGAGAAATCGACCCACGCGGTCACGTCAGTTGGACTGCTTTAGGAAGTTTCTTTATCTCCTGGACGGGCTGTTCATAAAAACAAGCAGTGAGCCTTTGAGAGGCTGGGCAGACAGCTTGAGGAAGATCCAGACTCAGTTTTCAGTGTCTGAATTAACGTAGCGGTTAAATGAATTAGCAGGTAATGCGGACAGTTCACTTAATCTCAAAGAAAAATTGAAAAGGAGATATGGAGACCAGGGTATTTTCACTGACTGAAATAATAGTGTTTTTTGCTAAAGTGGCACAGCAACAAAATTTGTTTTTGAGTCATGGCATGCATTTTGGAGGCCAGGACAAGATGACAGAAACTGAATTGTGGCGGCCACAGCGAAAATAAATAATCAGGCAGGGAGAGGACATGAGGTCACACGCATTCGACACCCAGACACCTTGTTCCAGACACATTGCATGATTTCCTGGGTATCGTTATCAAGTCCGACAGTGACTCCCGGCGGAGCAAGGGGACTCGCGAGGGCATCGCTCAGCAGGCAATGATGCAAGCGTGTCCTTAATTGCACCAATTTTGTGCATTTAGGCGCCTGTTTGTATCAGAAAGAGAGCTGCCGGATTATGATACACATACTGCACAGCCCGGGGTTTTACATGAGCTACAGCGAGACCAGACCCCCCCTTCGCTACCCATACACACGTTGATCGCCTGGCACCTGACATAACCCTGGATACGAAAAGAAAAATTTATCATGAGAACTCTTATTTAGGTTGTAATTTGAGTTCGATTAAACAATTTACAGACGAAACAAAATTCGACAAAATCAATCAATGTAGCGGAAAGAAAAGTAGGCGAAAGTACAAATACCACGCAACAATCGATCGATTAAAACAATTAATTAAAGAAAGCTTAATTACCTGAAAGTGTCAATAATCCAAAATATGCGGTCCTAACCGCAATTTAATTTAATAACGCACAAACACAAAAAAAATGATGTTACATCGGGAACTTCACTTCGCTGATTGCTCTTAAACTTCGATTTAGATAATACTGGGTGGACAGGTGTAATATTGGCTCGTTGATGGTGAAAAAACTCCCTTTAACTGATACTTGAAGACCTGAAATAAAGGTTTCACATAAGCAATTACTGCTGGATAAACACACCACTCCGACTAACTTCTTCGCAAAAACTCGACTTTCACTCACACTCACTTTTTAAATAAACAATAAAATAAAATCAAAATACAACGAGATTATGTAAACAAAATCAAACATAATTAAATAAATACATACTTCTAAATAAAATCAACAATGACTTTAAATTCAATTGATGTGATCGAGATTGTGTTCAATCTCAAATTAGCAACCGCATTTAACGTTACAAATAATTGCAATTAGACACATACAAGGTGACCCATTATTATTATAGGAGTTGATACCAAACGAAACGTCCGTATCACGTAGTTTCACAACAATATAAAATGTAATAAACTCCTTATTTCTCTTATCTATAAAATTATAGAAAAAGTCTCCTTTAAGTCTGCGATCTAGCGGTCTCTTTGCCTATAATTTTGCGCTATTCGATTTATCAAGGCTGACTATTCGTAATAATTTTTGCGTAACCGTATTTTTCCTATTGCATATATAATAATGAAGGTAAAATAAGGTTTCCAACGATGTGTTGCAAGACATATGTTGCCATTAAAAAAAAACATACACATCTTATTTAAGTCCTATAACTTTCAAACCGATATCTCCAACCGTTTTCACACCAGCGCTTTGGTTCTATGTTTATTAGCCACTCTGTATAGTGTATATGCTGTACTATGATCCCCCTTTTTAATCACATAACTTTAGTAATACCATAAAACATTACATTTAAAACACAAATGGTACAAACGACCATATCTTAACCATTTAACGAAATTTCGGTTTGGTTATAGTTCATGGATTTAGTGGCGCTCGGAGTTCACTAAGTCACATCAATTAGCAGAGATATTGATTAATAGGTTATTATGGTGACATTGTTTATTTTTTACGTAATTTTAAGATTAAATTGATATTATAACCGTTACCATTTAGTAACGGATTGTAGTAATAGTAACGGTTTATTTAGGTTGAAAGTCTTCGTTAGTGGAAACGAAACTTGAACAACTTTAATTCTACTATAACTAAGTTCTGAAGGTGTAAAATTCCGTGTTAAGCGGAGTGTAGAAAAGTCTGCTTAAAAGTTTCTACGTGTACGTCAATTTGGTATCAAAAATTAGTAGGGCGCGGAAAAGATACGAGTAGTTTCACATGGCCGCAAGCTTAAATCAGGGGGAAGTTTGCAAACATTCGTTCCGGTAAGTGAGAATTAGTGTTATCTGCGAGTGAACAGATTAATAATTAGGTCACACAATTGAGGGGCATAAATGGGAAATAATGTTATTCCACAAGACAAATTGGGTTCGTGTTTCCTATTATAACAAACAAGTTCCTTCTGTGTAAACAATATGAATTTTCGTGTAGAGAAACTCTATATTGAAGCAAATCCTCAATATATATTGTGGTAATTTCAAGTGTTGCCACATTTTCAGGGGTTTCTATTGCATATGCTGTCTGGTGATTGGTTTCATGAGCACCTAGTAACAGTCGAGTAAGTTCACCTGTCAACCCTTAAATTAAATTCTTTGCTTCAGAAACGCGCGTTAGTCTTTCTTAGAACGTGAAGGAATTTGCAAGTAACAAGTAGCGTGAGATCTAATTCATTGTGCCATCAATGTTAGAAAATGTAACGGCCATTTTAATACACCAATGTAAACGGAAACACAATTTCATCCATATAAATTTACACTACATGCTAAGTTTAATATTTCTCATCAAATTGGGAGAAAGCTTGACAGGCGACGTAGAAATAGTTTTGCCAGCAACTATTTTATTGTTGTTGTCTTCCTTTAGGACAGATTTATCAACGTCGTATTTTTAAAAAATCGTTGCGTCGTCTTTCTTTGGTAGACCTGACCATTTTTGCTTATCTGGGTAGTAAATTTCTGACAAGACTATATTTAGAATTCAATTTGTTCGGTACCTTTTTTACTTTGTACAATCAGTTTTCAGTACATGATAGGAAAGCTTTGTCAATTGGATGGCGGTAGCCTGGCTTGCAGAGCACTGAAAAATGCAAATTCCATAATTACACGACTGTACCTATAGTTAGTAGGCAATTAGGCATTAATGTTTCCTTATAGGTATATAGTTTCTGTATGTGCATGACGAATATAAGCCACCTCATAACAGAGACTACTGTGATAAATATTCTGTTTGAAGTGCCGAATGCCGAAACACACTTTAAGCTGTGAATTCTGTCATTCATGAATATATCATGTATCACTGTATCTATCTCTAAAACATCATCATAAAGGCATTAATGACACATATTAAGCCACTGTGTAAAGTTAAAAAAAACTGTTCTCTGACGCCCGTATATACAGCATCGGGCCCAGGTCTTCTACAAAAAATGAAAGTATGTATATGAACACAAAAAACAAGATGATTAAGATAGTCTCCCGGAATTCTTCGATACACATCTCCGTTTCCATCCCTGTAATATTTCTGATGAATCTATATTGAAATAGGGTTTCCTATTTCCTGGGGCGAAACCCCTTTTTTCCGTGTTCTTTACTTATTTCTCCTTCTTATTCAATACCTAATTTTTTTAATGAAAGAATGATAAATCCCGGCTAGTATGAAATAAAATTACTTTAATTTGGTTGTACCTTCCTGGTTAGTTTTCTCGTAGACGTCCGGGCCTCTCACAATGAAAAATCTCAATGTTGATTTCAAATAGACAATATGGGAGACTTAGTAACCACGATCAACTTCCGAACACTTCAAAGAATTAACTACACAAATTTTCATCAACACCTGACACGAAAAGAAAAACCTTACATGCAAAACTCTATCTGGGTCGCATAATGGATTCGAATATACCCACAATTAATTTATTGATAATGACAAAAATTGATTCTGATAATGAAACAAAATTAAAACAAAATCCCTGAATGAAAGAAAAGCTTACAAAGCTTGTTTGGACATATTACCCAGCACGCAGGAGGTCGACAAATAAAACAAGAAATCTCATACACGCACTAAACCTCTCACATTGTTTGATAAACTTTAAAGATAGAAGCTACATGGGATCTAATAAGAGACAATTAGAGACTAGGGAAATTAACTGAGTTTAGAGTGCGTAGAATGATGTTGTTAAGCTCACGACGTCTTGAGTATCTACCAGTGCTAAAACATGTGCGTTAATTAAATTTTGCCTGATAATAAAACTCCTTATTGCAAACGGAACCGGCTTTATGGTTCAGTGGTAGAGCGTTTGACTATAAATCCGGAGGTCGGGTGTTCGAACCTGGGTTGAGGTGATAATTTTTCATCTGTGGCAGAGATTGGAATTACCTTAGACCAGTTTCAAGCATTCTGCCGGCTACTCCGAATTAGGTTTTCCTGCAGTTTTCCTGATTCGTAAGGTAAATACCGGAGTAGTATAGAACAGCTTAAGACCTTCTGCAGAGGCACCTCTAAAAAGCATTATGCGGGTCACTCTGTAATTGGGCGCAAGCCTGTTGAGGGCCTAGAGCAAGAGAGGGATAATAAATAAATAAAAAATAAACGACCGGCTGTGTTTTACTTTTATCACCTTCTAAATTGAATAAATTACCAAAGCGCTAAAATTAACGAAAAATTACGCACCTACCAAAGGAAAATAAAAATTCAAATAAAACCAACCAACCGTGTGCTTATTTCGTAAATAATGCCCCAGATTTACTTAATAAATTGAAATATTTTCATATGTTCGGGCCAAAATAAAAA